GTCCATGTAAAGCGGGAAAAGTCATCCACAATGACGAATGCATAGTAATTGCCACCAAAGCTCATAGTTTGTGTGGGCCTAAAAAGATCCATGTGTAAAAGTTGTAAAGGCCTAATGGTTGAGACAATATCTTTGGATTTGAAAGAAGCCTTTACTTGCTTTCCCATTACACATGCATCACATAACTTGTCATTTTGAAATTTAAGCTTTGGAAGACCAATTACTAAGTCTTTAGAAATCAACTTATTTAAGTGACTCATGCCAATGTGTGCAATTCTTTTGTGCCACAACCATGAATCATTTTCTTTACTAACCAAGCAACTATCGTCATTTGAAGGCATACCATCTAAATCAATCATATAGATATTATCCACTCTATAGCCTTTAAACTTAACTTGCCCATCATTTAAATTTTCAATTTTGCAACATTTAGAATCAAAAACAATTTTAAAGTCTGTCACATAATTGACTAATACTAAGCAAGTTATGTCTAAGACCATCAACAAGCAAAACATTTTCTATACAAGTTGATGAGGAGTTACCAACTTTCCCAATGCCAAGGATCTTTCCTTTGTTATTGTCTCCATAAGATACATGTCCATGATCCTTCCTTGTAATTGAAAGAAATTTGGTAATGTCTCCCGTCATATGTCTTGAGCAACCACTATCCAATACCCATTTAGATGAAGAACTCTTTAAGCATACCTACAAAACAAATTTAACATTTAATCTTTGGTACCCAAATTTGTTTGGGTCCTTGTGTGTTAGTCATGGGTCTAGTTCCCTTAGGGACCCATACTTTCTTTTGACCACTAATTCCATTCTTTCTAATTTTACATGTTGATGCACTATGTCCTTTTCCACCGCAATGATAGCATTTAATGAAAGGACTACTAGTCATGTAAGATGGTGATATGAAGAAGTTCTTATAGGATTTTTCTTGTATGTTAGTGTTGAATCCTAAGCCGGATTTGTTAAACATACATCTTTGTTTTCCAAGCAATACATTTAAGTTGTCTCTACCACATGTAAACTTGCTTAGCACATTGATTAAGTCATCAATTTCACTAGTTAGCTTTTCACATGAAGTACATGATGATAATGATGCATGATCATTAATGATAAATATTTAATGCAATTTGTACTAGCATCAATCAATTTAAGTGTTTCATTTTCATCCTTTAACTCTTTTACTTCTTTGTTTGAGCATGCAATTTGTTTTTCTAAGGAGACAATGGTCTTTCTCATTTCTCTAAGAGATTTAACATGCTCTAAAGATTCACTATGTAATTCATCAAATAGATTTTGCAATTCATCATATGAAGGAGATATAGAAGAGCAAGTGGAGTTTACCTCGGATTCCGACTCATTGCCATTTTCAATTGTCATGAAGCACATATGTTGCATTCCTTTGCTTACATCATTTGAGGCTTTAGAGTCTTGCAAGAAGCATACATTAGCTTCTTCATTGCTTGAATCATCGGATGAGCTTGAATCTTCATCCCAAGCCGCATATGCCTTCTTTTTATAATTTTTCCTATCTTTGAATTGATTCTTGTTACTCTTTTCTTTCTTTTGAAGCTTAGGGCAATCGGCTTTGAAGTGTCCAGTTTTTTCACATTCATAACATGTGTGAGGAGGTTGAGAAGCTCCTTCATCCTTGAATCTTCTCTTTGGAGGAAATGGAGGTCTTCTTTGAAAGTTCTTCTTCTTGAAGAATTTTCCATACTTTTTTACAAAGAAACTCATTTCATCTTCATCTAATTCATCTTCGGATGGCTCCTTTTCCTTCTCCTCCTCCAGTTGAGATTTGGAGCTAGTGGCTTGCAAAGCTAATCCTTTTCTTTTCTTCTTGGCTTGCTCCTTCAAAGTTAGTCTTGCTAATTCTAGCTCATGCTCTTGAAGCTTTCCAAAGAGTGTAGCAATGGACATACTCTTCAAATCTTTTGATTCACAAATAGCCGTCACCTTAGGTTGCCAATCCCTATTCAAGCTCCTTAAGACTTTAGTGACCATTTGAAAATTATTGTATGAAGCTCCTAAAGCATCCAAATGAGTAACAATATGGGTTAGCCTTTTTTGCATGCTATGAATAGTTTCACCATCATTCATTTCAAATAATTCAAATTCTCTAGTCAATCCTAGAATTTTAGAGACTTTAACTTCACTAGTTCCTTCATGTGTTACTTCAAGCACATCCCACATTTCTTTTGCGGTTTTGCAATAAGCTACACGAAAATATTCATCTCTACTTAAAGCATTGGTAATTAAGTTTCTAGCCTTAGCATTCCAATTTGCTTTTTTACTTTCTTCTTCCGAAAATTCTTTTAAAGTCTTTGGAACATCGTTGTTGCTTTCATCCTTTTTAGTGGGAGCCGTATATCCCTCATCAACAATGTTCCAAATTTTTAAATCAATTGACTCAAGAAAAATTTGCATTCTACTTTTCCAATAAGCATAATCGGTGCCATTAAAGAAAGGAGGTCTTGAAGTTGAAGTTCCCTCAAGAGGCATATCATTGTTTAAAGAGGCCATCTTTACTCTTGAAGCGGTTAAGCTCTTTATACAAGAGTCCAAGCTCTAATACCACTTGTTGGACAAGTGGCCTCAAACTCAAGAGGGGGGGTGAATTGAGTTTTAAAAATATTTTCGTAAAGTGCCTCACTTCCTTTCTTGAAATCGATTTTCTTAGAATAATATAATTTGACACAAGCAAAGTTTAGAGAATAGAAATTAACACAAGCAAATGGTATGTAAAAAGAAGAGATAAAAGGTTCAAGTGATCAAATAATGCTAATATAAAGAGATGAAGAGTTAGAGAGATTGCAAACATTATATATCCTGGTTCGGTCACCACCACCGTGACCTACGTCCAGATTGAAATCGCTCGTTCAACTTTCCACTAAATTATCAAGCTTCAAGGGTGCTTGACAAACCACTACAACCTTCAAGAATATCGATTCTTGAAACCTTTACACTTCCACTCACTTACTTAGGTTATGAGCAACCTCTTTCACTAGGGTCTCACTACCCTTAACACAAATGAACAGATTGAGAGTATTTAGAAAGGGATATGTACTCTTAAAGTACAGATTATACAAGTTGAAGCTTATAGGTATTGATCAATGACACAAGATTAGAGCTCAAAGGTGATTTATGATCAAGATGATAGAAAGTAAGCAAATGATCTGAAATAGAGCAAGAATAATGATTAGAAAAAGTGTCCCATCAATGTGAATAGTGATCACTATTTATAGAGGGGCCCCCATGACCCTTTGAACACACATTTTCGCAAAACTAGCCGTTTATAGCCGTTATACTGCTTACTGTCCAGTAAGTATTCGAATACTATTCGTGAGGTATTCGAATACTTCAATTGGTATTCGAATACTTTTCTCACGATATTCGAATACTTTGTTCTCAGCATAAGTATTCGAATACAGACAATGGAGTATTCGAATACTTTCTTTAATTATGCAGTTTTATGAGTTGTAAAGTATTCTTTTTGGTCTCTAATCACTTTCAATGTATTTCCTTGACTTGTACAAAATGTTTTGAAGTTATTAAACATGTCAAGGATATTTTTCAGAACAATTAAGGCTTTCAAATGATAGATGACATGGATATTGCATGCATAGAGTTAATTACCCTTTGAGCTCTTTTATGCATCATTAATCAATTACCTTTACATTTAGATCTAAGCTCTCAAGAGCATGAATCAATGATGATCTTGTGTGTTGACTGATTTACTCTTGTTGACTTGTTTGAATTGCTTCCTTGGGCTTTTGATTGTTGCGAGTTGTATTATCTTTAACATCGCTTCTATGCTTGTTTGTTATCATCAAAACTCTTGTATGATTGAATTCTTCATATTAAGCGCATTGGTTTCACAATATATAATCCTACAATATTGTATATTCTACTATTTGTATACTGTATATTCTACTATTTGTTTATTTCTTTAAAAATACATATTGAATGGGGAAAAAAAAGAATATATAAATTTATGGTTGTTTGGTGGATAAGATAGGACTGCTATTATTTATTATTTAATGAATCAATAAAATATAATAAGGGGTAAATAAATATCCTGTCGAAAAAAAATAAGGTGGGCTTCACATTATTTTTGTGTCCCTTGTATGAGACAAAATGCTTCCTATAATAGCAGATTCATTTATCCCGTATAATAAAGTTAACATGATAAACTTAACATGATGGTTTATTTTATCTTATGTATAGCAGAATTTGTAGATAGGATAAAATGAGATAAAACTTATAATAAATTTGTCATATTTGGTTGGTTTGCAAATGATGGATAAATGATATCTGGATAATATAAATAGATAAAAACAATTTTTTAAAATATAACTTTTTTATTTTTAAAAATTAATTTTTAAATATTTTTAATTTATAGATTAGGTTGTATTATAGATTATTAAACAATTTAAAAGTAATAGTTTTAAATAAAATACATAAAATAACTTACAAAATTTAATTGGTGTGTTTTAATGAGGATGAAATTCACAATATTTTTGCTTCAAACCCCAAATGATTTCATAAAGTGTGGAAGAAGTTGTATTTTCAAACTCCTAAAACCCCCCATTCAATGGTGTCTTTCTGCCTATGGGAGAAATGGCGAGTAATAAAGAGAGAGAAAATCACTTATGCCTTTTAAAACATTTCACGAGTTTGCTCGCTAAACTTCCACCAGTGAGTTAGCCTTCTGCTTGTTAGACTGCTGGCATCGACGTGCACGTCAACGAGCAACAAGCTAACAGCCATTTTCACATATTTTTCCTTTTTCACTCAATTCAACACTTAACATTTTATTTTAACAATCTCATGAAATTCTTATATAGTTCATTATTATTCCAGCCCACAATTATTATTCATATATTAGGGTTCTTACACTCAGCCAATGGAATACACTAGTAGTAATTAGTAATTACAGTCTATTTACATGAATCTAAATTTTATTTTATTTTTACATGTATAAGTATCAGCGTCCATTGATCACATTCTAACATTGAAAATTGAAGAGCAATGACACGAGCAGTTAGTGAAGGAAGGATATATCACTAAATAAAAAAATCGCAGGAGTCAACAAAAGGAACATGCAGAAGAACAATCGCACTCTTCTGTACTCTTCTTGCAACCAACCCCAAAAAATGAATTCCTTCATTCATTATTAATTAAACGTGAAGAAGCTTTCAGGTGGCATGTGAAACGAGAACAGATAAGTCAATCAAGGACGTTCCTTCACGTTATCTTCTCTATAAGCTTTGGCTTTCTCAATGGACTTCATGGCTTCTTCAAAAGATTTCTGAGCGCAAAATAAAATCATAGAAGTGCAAAGGAACAATTCAGTATCTCTGCACATAAAGTTATCATGTGAAGCTTCAAACATTATCATACAGAAATTTCCAAAAATCAATTACTAAATAGTAAATACTTGTTTTATACACGTAAGCAAAACACTCAATGTGCTGCCATGCCATCAATGACAAGAAATGATGACATGTATTTCACATATATATTTCAAGTTTTATCAGTCCTATCTTTTCAATTAAATAACAGCGGCATTCTACAATGTCTTATAAATACCATTATAGTAACTTTATTGTTAGAATCTAGATAAATTAGGGCATAACAAAATCCAAGATTCTTATACAATTACATAGGAAACTTAATATCATGTTTGTATTTAAAATTCATGAAACTTCTTGGCTACCCATAGTTAATAGCTTCTTGCAAGGTCTTAACGCAGAAGAAACAGAGCTATTGGTGATGGTTTGGTTTGTATGGGGTGTGATACAGCACAGCAGAAGAAATCAAGGGAAGAAGGAAATCTGCAGACAAGCAAGAAAAAGATCAAGTTTCCTTTATTGTTGTGTGTGTTCCCTTCGATCCCTGGGTTACTACCCAGTCTTTCCAATCTTTTCTTTCTATTCTGTCTAGTTCCCCTATACAGAACACCGAGCCCCCCTTTTATAACCACCGACTATAACTAACTAACTTGGTAAATATTACTGCAGGAATACACTCTGCAAATAATGGGCTTATTACTATGCGTAACAGGGTGAGGGGAAAGAAACTTAGCCGGATAAGGAACAGTTCCAAGACCAGCTGCTCAGATTTCCAGAAATGCAGAAGCTAACTTGATTGCATTTAATCAGGCTAAACCGAGCCTCATACTTCAGGATCACTTGGTTATACAAAACCCAATAACCATACCAATAAGGGTCAGTTTGGAATGGATTTGTAAAAATAGGGGAGAAAAATTCATGAAATAGTTTGATATGCATGAGCAATAGAGGGGTTTTGACCAAAAAAATGCAAATTTCAAAAAAATCCACCTGTTTAATTCGTTGACCAAACGTTTTACCGGACTAACGCAGGAAGACGCGTTTCAGATGGTTACGCGTTTAGTCGCGCACCTGACACATGCGCGTTTTTGACAAATCTGAACATGTCTGTACCAGGTACGTGTCTGAACACGTCTGTACCAGGTGCGTGTTTCTGACAAGTCTGATGAGCACAATACCAAGATTCGTCATATTCAGGCACGCATTCCGTGGCATAGTCGCGTCACAGTCAGAAACGCGCACCTGGTACATACGTGTTCAGATTTGTCATAAACGCGTATATGTCAGATGCGCGACTAAACGCGTAACCACCTGAAACGCGTCTTCCTGCATTAGTCCGGTAAAACATTTGGTCAACGAACTAAACAGGTGAATTTTTTTAAAATTTGCATTTCTTAGGTCAAATCCCGCAATAGAGGTAAGGTAGAAAGGAACATGCATGAGGGATTTTCTTGTAACTGCCTGGACATGTGGCAGCAAGGGAAAGGAGAAAGCGATAGTGGTATTCTGTAAGAGTAGAAGAGGGGATAATGTGAGAAGAAAATGGGTGAAAACGGTGGCAAGAACTCAGTTAACAAGTGGGATTTGGGAGAAGCTCACAATCTCTGTATTCTATTTTCAGTTTTTGTAGTTTCTGGGTTAATCCCCCATCTGCTGCCACATCAGAGTGGATTTCTAAATCTGTAAGGCGGTGACTGAATGTTCATTCTGTAAAACTTATAGTGGCTTACAAAGGGTTGTTGTTTGCTTGGGAGGTGGGTCGCCGGAAGGTTTAGTTGGAAGGAAATGCTCAATTTATTTACAGGTGCATCACGTAGAATTTGGAGGACCTTTCTAATAATGGTACAATTTTGCAAGACATCTAATGTTTTGCCTCTTGGTTTAATGGTTCTATTGTGGTTACGTTCCACATAACTGTAATATGGTGGCTGATTCAGCAGCTAGTTTTGCTAGAGAAAGTGATATTTGTATCTTACTATAGGATCTTCCGAGCCCGTTTGACACCTCTCTTTTTTAAGCTAAAAGCTACTTTTAAGATAAAACTAAAAAAAAAGTTTTAAAAATAAAACTAAAAGCTGTTTGATGATTATATAAAATTTTAGTTTTAAAGTTACTTAAAAGCTTTTTATTTAAAAAAGATACAACTTAAAAAAATTCCTCCTGAAGCTTTTGCTTTTTGGCTTTTTTCTTCATTATAAAAAAAAAGCTCTTTTTATTATAAAAGCTTTTGTAAAAACCTGTTTAGCCTAACTTTTGCTTATAAGGAGAAGAGCAGCAAAAAAAAACCGACCTCATTCCATCTCTTGAGGCTTAATTTATCATTTAAAAAAGAATCTTCAGATAAAAAATAAAAAAAAAGGCTCATCCCGACTTTAGGGTTAATTGTATGCAGCCTCACTCTTGCATTTTTGCAAAGAGGTCGTTTCTCACACTTGAACCCATGAGCTTCCGGTTACAAAAAGCAACCTTATCATTGCTCCAAGGCTCACACTCTGATAATTTTTTTATTTTTTATTTTTTTCATAAAAAAAATAATATTAAGAAAAAAAAAAACCTATGCTTATGGACCAAAAACATGTTACATGATTATTATAATTATAATATCAACTTTCATAATTAAACTGAATAGGAAAATGAAACAAAGGCAATCATAAGCTGAGATATGGTACAGTACAACAAAAATGGAAGATTAAGGGAAAAAAGAAATCAGCAAAAAAAGTGAAAATCAAATAAGCTTACCCCAGAATTTTGCATCTTCCATAAGGATTCTCCGCTTGTATTGATGACAATTATCCCACCTAAAATAGCTCTGGATGAAAATCTTCCATCAGGTTATCAGCATGATGTTTTTAAACTAAAAGCAGCTAAGCACTTGATAGTTATTCATAGACACAGATTAATGATGATGAACAGGTAGAGATAGAAGTCAAGTCTATATAATGCTTATGTAACATGGCAGAAAAATTAAAATATTATTTTTTTAATAAATAATTATGAAAACGTAGTAGTTTTGAATCTATTTACGAATCTATAACAATCAGCCGCACCCAAAATTAGGTGAGACTAGTATCACCCTCTAAAAGGCGTGTTTGGGGCTTGGTCGCGCCTCATTTCAGGCGTGATCAGTCCCGCCCAATTTCAGGCGCGACCCAGCCCTTAAGAAGTTTGTTGGATTACTTTGTTCTATGATTTAGCACTTCTCTATTGGCTGATATTTTCTCCTACTGGATAGTACTCTGAAATACCATCTCATGGATCACACATGCCGCACTTGGAATATTATCTTTCTAGAAAACTGTTCCAGTACTATTTCTCCCACTACTGCTAATGTAGCTGACAAAAAAAAAATTGTTCCAGCACTTTGATTATGAGTTTGTGAATTATAATAATTTAAAATATTTTTTATTTTTAAGTTCTGTTATAATTATTAAATCTATTTCTTATATTTCGATAAGAAATAGTTTGATAGGAATTAAACTATTAAGAGAGAGAGGCTCAAAGCCCTGGGAGTTTGAGATAGGAGAGTCTTGGAGGGAGGGGCAGTAGTCATTTTTGGACTTCTTGATTGAAGACAAAATTAAGTTTAGGTCAAAATAGATCTAGAGAACAAGATGTGAAGCTCTTTGCCGCAACAAAAGACTCTAGGAAGAAAGGGGTATTGGTTTCAAGCTCATAAAAAAACCAAGACATAACTAGATAAATAACTATGAAGCCTGAGCTGCATGTGCTTTTTGACTTTCTTTTCTTCAACAAATTTATGCTACAATGATGGAAGATGTTGTGAGGTGTCGATCAAACAAGAATATTAGGAGACTCTGCATTGTGGTCGGTCAGTTTTCATAACATTAGAGGCTGGCCAGTAGTGGGTATCTTTGTGATGCTAGAGACCGAATCAGTGTTGTGTCATTTTGTATATCTACTTCTGCATGCTGTGCAATTTCCAGCCATGAAAAAGTGCAGTTTAGGTAGTTTATTAATCCGTGAATCACTAAAATATGTATTTAAAGAGCAGGGATGACTATATACAAATTTTTCTAAATAGTTCTCTTTGGAATAGAGTAACTTATATATCACATGGACGTTCACCGCCCTGTTCACCTTGTTCATGGAAAAAGGGAATCCAAAGAATAGAATTACTTAACAATGGGAAGTCAAGAAAAAAAAAATCCCTTAAAACCTGGTTAGGTTGTTACTGTAAGGGAAGTGAGGTATCTCAAGGCTGAGATCATAAGCATGGAAAAAAAGAAGTCAAATTAGTGCTCTTCAAGAATTACAGAACTGATATTGAAATATGTGTGATCTTCAATGAGTCAATGATTGCAAATCAAAGACCAAACTTTCTAACTACATAAGCATGATATGATTATAAAAACCACCAACATGTTCACAATGGAATACTACCTTCAGTCAGTATTATAATCCATACACTGTACTTGTGGTTTTCCTCCTTAATTTTCCTAAAACTTTGGTGAATATAATTGAAACTCATGCTAGAATCATGTACTAAAAATGGATAATAAGTTAATTTGTGATTGTTTTAAAAGGAAATCTATCAAAAAGTTCATTAACAAAGTTACTAAAGTCGATGTACAACATAGGGTTATTTTATTTTCTTGAAGTCTCCAGAAAAAACCCAAATTAAAAAATCTAGGACACCAATTAACAACAATAACCATCACAATTATAATCAGAAAAAAATAGAAAAAGGAAAGTGCATTACGCTGCGAAGCTAAGATTAAGAAGAGAAGATCGCGCCGTCAAAATCCGAAGAGCGAGCTCAAACTTGGACGCGAAGCCATCACCATTGAACCCAGACCTAGATCTATATTCGTAACTGCTCCCACTCCTACCGTATCCATAATTATACTGAGAATAATAGTTGTTGCTGGCGGCTCCACCGCCGGCGCCGGAACGCCACCGGAAATTGAAATCGGCGCGCTTGCGATCGTCCATGAGGACCTCGTAGGCCTCGGAAACCTGCTTGAATCGAAAAGTGGCGTTGTCCCTAACGGCCCTTGGAGATTGGGAATGCTTGTCAGGGTGGAACTGAAACGCCAATTTCTTGAACGCTGCTTTGACTTCTTCCTTCGTTGCGGTTCTATGTAAACCTAGAACCTTGTAATGGTCCATTCTTCTGTGTTGTTTTGATGTTGAATTGGATTAAGGGTAAGTGTGTGTGTTGGTTTTCTAAGCTTGTTTGATTTTATTTTTCTTTGGGGTTTTTTATTTATTTTTTTCCTTTCTCGGGTGGATTTTCTCGGGAAAGTGGAGAGGTAGAAAATTGAATGGGAAATCGGAAGAGAAAAAGGGGTATTCATGGCGGGAGTCGTGGCAGCGCTTTGGCCGCTTCTTTCCTAGGCAGAGATGGAGCTATTGATTCTAGTTATTGTACGTAACATTGTACACGTGATAATTGTTATAAATTTTCTTTACCAAAAAATTATTTTTGTAATTTTTTTTTTAATTCTTATTATAAATGAGTGAAAGTTGAATGTACTTCTTGAAATAAATAAATAAAAGAGTAAATGACAATATCCACGAAGCCTCTATTGATCCCTAGCAATAAAAAAGAGACATAATGGTCTCTTAAATTACAAAAAACAGGCCACATTAGTTCTTATGTTAAATCCTATCCAACGGCTCAACTAACGGTGCACACTTGGCACGTTAGTTTGCTGACGCGGATTTGAGTGGTCCACCGTGGATGTGGAGACGACGACGTGACCTAGCATCAGTTGCATCTCCAACGCCCTTATTGGTCCCTGACAAAAACTACGGGGCCTTTTTTGGTCCCTAACTAAAGAAAAACAGCGACATAAAATCAGAGGATTTCTATGCAATCAAATTTGTTAAACCTAAAGACATGGATGTACAACAATCTGAAATTCAGCTTTCTAAATCATGAAATCATTGTATGACAATTATTGTTTCAAACGAAAGTGCAATAATTCAAACAACATATAAGCTAAAACTTTGTTGTATACCAAACATAGAAGTATGTCCCTAGCTTAAATGATAAGACATCTTAAACAATACATACAACATTGCTGCTCTACTTTAGACTTCAGAGAAATAGAATTGACTAACATGCATATCTTCTCTATTCACTTTTATTGTCATATTTTTACCAACAAACACATTACTTGTCAATGATGAGAGTCTACAGCAGTGCAGATACTAAATAACATAGCTAGTTACAATTTTGCAAAAATATCCCCCTCTTTCTTCAACAGAAAAATTTAAAAGTTATTCTATGAGTAGGATAGATAAAGGAGGATATAAAAATGAAACTTACAGAAAACCAAGAACAAAAAAATAATACCATGAAACCCTCAATCTCTCAGTCAATTCATAGTAAAAAGAACCTTCAAGAGTTAAGCCAAGTGAACACTTTCATTTTCACCCCAAATTAAATGTAAATTTGAAATTTAATTTTTAAAAATACTAGCATCCTCTTAAACTTACATACACCCAAATCCATAAAACATAGAGCATAGCAGCAAAGTTTTGCATTTATTATTACCACTAACCTCTAATATCAATCAATCATAAAAAGATCCTCAAGACTAGAAGGACAAAGCAAAACCCCTCATCTCCAGTCCTCACGAATATCAAGCAGTGCATACCATTGCATATATCCAACGGTGAACCTTTTACCAAAATTGTCTTTACTTCAATAGTTTCATAATTGGCATACAGTAAATAAACAAGAGGAAAGACCCAAGGAAAAGTGATAGAGGTTTATAAATTAAATTAATCAAAGCAAAATTGAGAACTAGATTACAATGTCTACTATCTTCAAAACACATTCTTGGGACAACATAAAAAGCTGCCACCCCAGAATCAAACTTCAACTATCAGTACCCAAAGCAAGTAAAAAATAAAAAATTATATTCCAAATTTCACATAGGACCAAGTCAAAATTTACCCCAAAAACTAAAATTATTAAAACATTTATGTAGCAAGAAATTCAAAACAAAACTAAAAAATCGGCACTCCAAACTCCAGGAAAAAAAAGAGTGTTTTAAGTTGAAGTGTCACCCAAAACTTCAAAACAAACCCACATCACAGTATAACAGTTAAACGATGACGACCACTCAAAAGAGTGAAACAATTAAAACAAAAACAACCAAGTCGTGGATGTTCCAACAATGATGTTTCAACAATGATGTTTCAACAATGATGTTTCGTAGGGTTGATGAATGTTTAACTTTACCTTCTCGGATTGCATTAACATATATAGTTGTGGTTGGTGGAAGTGTCATACAATAGTTTCATGATTTAGAAAGCTGAACTTCATATTGTTGTACATCCATGTCTTCTGGTTTAACAAATTTGATTGCATAGAAATCCTCTGATTTCATGTCCCTGTTTTTCTTTAGTTAGGGACCAAAAAAGGCCCTGTGGTTTTTGTCAAGGACCAATAAGGGCGTTGGAGATGCAACTGATGCTAGGTCAGGTGTCCACACGACCATGGAGATGCAACTGATTATCAAAACATCGTCATCTCAACATCCACGGTGGACCACTCAAATCTGTGTCAGCAAACTAACGTGCCAAGTGTGCACCGTTAGTTGGACCGTTGGATGGGATTTAACAGAAGGACTAACGTGGCCTGTTTTTTGTAATTTAAAAGACCACTATGTCCCTTTTTATTGCTAAGGACCAATAAGGGCTTCGTGGATATTGTCAGAGACCAAAAAAGGTATTTACTAAAAAAAAACAACAACTTGAACAACGCTATTATTGAGGTATAACATTATGATATTGTTACTGTCAATCTCATTGACAATTTGTTTTACTGTTAGATCGATTGTATGGATCTAATGGTTCTGATTTAACTTTCTAAAAATCTTATTTCTTCTTTCTATAATTAATATTTTATATTTATTTTCACCTTTACATTAAATATGAGGAATTATAATCATATAGTAGGTTTTTACAATAACCAAATAGGACATACATCTGAAATGGCTAACACTATACAATCTCTCGCATATCTCATATTTCACTTGGACCCGAATATAGGGTCTCACTTATAGTGTGCGATCAATGTGCAGGTGTTGTGTGTGGAGGGAGCATTCAAGCTTTCACATAATCCCAAAAAATGTCAAACAAAAAAGCGACAACATATAATACTATTGATAGTATTCTACCCTAGTTTTGAAACCAATTAAGATATAGATTACTAAATCAACAATTCGCAAGAATATCATATTAGAAAAGACAATAAAAAAGGACATAAGCAAACATGTAAAAATTATTAATAATTTGCACAACTAATTATAATAGGCTTGAATCTTCAACCATCTTCTGTGGAGTTTCCATATGTAACAACTCAAAATTTTAAAATAAATAAAAAATATGGAGTAACCACCAATTTTATTTGATTGAAAAATTGAAAAACCTTTATTATTTTTGATACACATCAGGAAACCAGAGCAACGAACCAAGGAGAATAAATACAGAAAGAAAACCTTCATCAAGGCTTAGGGATTTTTTTGTGTTAAAGACACGTATCAACACGTGTTAATTCTTTGAGGAATTAGAGACAGGTGTAGGAATAAAGGGAAGGGAACTGGAGTATTCACACGTGTAAGGGTGTGGAAAGAGAGAATTGTATAAAAGGGAAAACAGGGGACATTAGTGGGTCATCAATTCATTGTTGTAAAAAAACACTTGGCTACCATTGAATAAAATTCTTCTCTCTCTGTTGCTCAGAGGTATTACCCATTTTTGCATCTCTTTGATTCGTTTGGTTCTCTATTCCCTGTTGCTCAGGTAGAGTCCAACATTGGTGCTTTCATTCTTGTTCTCTCCTCACGATGCGGGTTCAGGAACTAGCGGAGGTCGTTGCATCTTTGCAGAATCGTTTCGACGAATCACAAAACCAGATCTCACTACTTGTTGCTCAAATGCAACAACTGAATGATTCCATGGGGGTTCTTCATCCGCAGGCAGGCAAATCACCGGAGAATCAGCACGATTCAGGCACAGGTTCATCTTTGGCTGGTTCCACAGATTTTCAGAACGAGATGGGGAAAAAGGATACCACAGACCCACGATCGTTGCTGAAATTTGTGAAAATGGAGATTCCGCTATTTGATGGCACAAATCCAGATAATTGGATTTTCAAAACAGAACTCTTCTTCGAATTACAGAAGGTTCCACCGGCGTTAGAGGTTTAATTAGTAGGTCTGAGGATGGAAGGTCCTGCTTCATCATGGTTCCAGTGGACTTACAAAGGAGGAACAATTCGTTTATGGCCAGATTTCACAAAGGCATTACGGCAGCGTTTTGGTGTGAAGCCACATCAAAACATTACGGGCATGCTTTCTAAGGTAACACAAACAGGGACACTCAAAGATTATTTGTTTGAATTTGAAAAGTTGATGAATCAGACTACCAATGTTGAAGATGATTTCTTATTTAGTTTTTTTGTTTCGGGGTTATCTCCTGATTTACGAAGAGCAATTGAAATTCATGAGCCAAAAACTCTTCAACGAGCAATGCATTTTGCATTTGTCTATGACGCTCATTACACAGACCTACGTGTATCTATGAATAATGGGGCATCAAACAACCCGAGGAGAACACAATTTCGCAGTTACCAGTCCAGTGAAGGGGTGACCAATCAAACTGCGAACATAACGTCTTCGGTGGGCACCACAATACCCAACAAAACTGTAGCAGTCCACTCTTCAACAACTCAGAATCCATCATCTCAGACATCAACATCCCAGGTACCGGTTAAGAGAATGTCTCAGGTAGAGTCCAACATTGGTGCTTTCATTCTTGTTCTCTCCTCACGATGCGGGTTCAGGAACTAGCGGAGGTCGTTGCATCTTTGCAGAATCGTTTCGACGAATCACAAAACCAGATCTCACTACTTGTTGCTCAAATGCAACAACTGAATGATTCCATGGGGGTTCTTCATCCGCAGGCAGGCAAATCACCGGAGAATCAGCACGATTCAGGCACAGGTTCATCTTTGGCTGGTTCCACAGATTTTCAGAACGAGATGGGGAAAAAGGATACCACAGACCCACGATCGTTGCTGAAATTTGTGAAAATGGAGATTCCGCTATTTGATGGCACAAATCCAGATAATTGGATTTTCAAAACAGAACTCTTCTTCGAATTACAGAAGGTTCCACCGGCGTTAGAGGTTTAATTAGTAGGTCTGAGGATGGAAGGTCCTGCTTCATCATGGTTCCAGTGGACTTACAAAGGAGGAACAATTCGTTTATGGCCAGATTTCACAAAGGCATTACGGCAGCGTTTTGGTGTGAAGCCACATCAAAACATTACGGGCATGCTTTCTAAGGTAACACAAACAGGGACACTCAAAGATTATTTGTTT